GGTAGGAGATCTTAGCATGGACGCCTTTATCATAAAAGGCCCAGCAAAATCTACACCTGTAGTGGTGAAAGGCAGAGCAAAATTGCAGCGTTCAGGTGRAAGTGCTGCCATAATCTGCGATCGCATTTTCTGCTTATGCATATTGCAGAGTTTGCACATGAAAATGCACTTCTTTATTTGGGGCTTCAGGCGGGGTATGTACAGCTCTTGGCGGACCATATGTTGCATGAGGCGATGTTCGGCRTGGAGCATTAGTACGTGAATATATCTAATATATCTAATAAACGTGGCAAACGGACACCTCTCTGGTATGATTATAGGGTGACGTTCATTATACGTGAGGCTTGAATTAGCAAGCCGACCATTCGCACGAATTAAACCCTTTGTATCTAGAATTGGGTTTAGAACTAAGAGTGAGCTCTTTTTATCAATAAGCTTCGATTCTCTTAGTAATGCTATATCGCGGCTGAAGTAGCGCGATTGGGTTGATGCGATAAGAGCGACCTTTGCYTTTTGTAAGTCTTGGTGCGTCWATKYATCGCAATGGAGATAAGTTGCTCCTTTAACTTTTAGTTTAAGCCGCTCTAAAAACTTTAACATATAGGCAACTACCCGGAGGGCTCGGGGGAACGATGAAAATCGTTCGAGGATGTCAGTGTCATCCAATGTTGCATGATAAGTGTCGATTTTCCGACTTTCTGGGGCAAGTAKGTTGCGCATTGGTGATTGTGGCCAAGAAACGGGAGATTCGGTTAACCATCGGGGGCCATTCCACCATAGRGTGGTGGTGGCGAGATGAAGGGGTTTGGACCCTCTTGTACCTAGATCAGCAGGATTGTCAGYACYGGCTACGTGTCGCCAAGTGGCTGATCCTACTAGGTCAAGTATTTGCGCCGTTCGATTAGAAATATAGGTTTTCCACGCGTGTGGTGGCTTTTCTAACCAKGCTAGAACTATTTCGGAATCAGACCATAGATATAATTTGTATTTCGCCATGTSTAAGTGGGTCTGCACCATGGAAGCTAGTTTTGCTAGTAGCAGAGCTCCACAGAGTTCAAGTCGTGGGAGACTTAGCGTKTTTAGAGGCGCAACTTTTGCTTTCGCCAGTAGTAGGTGGCTTATAGTTGCGGTATCGCTTTGTGTGAGCACATATATAGGGTCACAATACGCCTTTTCAGAGGCGTCGCAGAAGCCGTGTAGTTCCACTTTGTATTCGGGGGAATAGTTTACCCACCGTGAAATTTGTGTCTGCGAAATGTCGGTCAGATTATTAGCGAACTGGGACCATTTTTCTAAGCGAAGAGGTTTCACTTGTTCGTCCCAGTCAGTTCCGTCTAGCCATAATTCTTGGATCAGGATTTTCGTTTGTATCATATTTGGCGAAAGCCATCCTGCGGGGTCGAAAA